GGCTTGATGGCCGACGTTAGCAAATTCATCCTGTATCTATACTGTTGCAACCCTTTCGCGCGTCGTTGGCCCTTGCGCAACAACAACCTGATATCCTCGTGGTAGACAGGGACGAATGGAACACCAAGGTTGATCCGTTCCAGAGTGAACCACCAATCGCCCATACACATGTCCATGTTGCCGAGAGCAATGTCGGAAACGCAATCCGTGTACATGCTTAAACCATCTTCGCGGATTGATGGGGATGATATATCCCTATTGATGGGCGTGCTTTCCACCACCGCCACCATAAGTTGGAGGGGGAAAGTTCTGGACGAGGAGAAGGAGGACGAAGAAGACGAAGAAGAGGAGGAGGAGGACCCCCCTCCCTTCAACTTATGGTGGTGGTGGTGGTGGTGGAAAACAAGCCTATCACCTGTATCTCACGGAGGTAAGTGGCACATTCAACACGTCGAGTACGGCAGCACCCATCATCAACAGTGCTTTCAGTGCCTTGATGGGCGTTGACGGTGATTTTGATATAATCACGAGGCGTTTCCCGTGCGATGCCCGCCGATCCTCGCCTGCCGGGGATGAAAAGGCGCGTGAGTCACTTGGCTGCTCACCTCCCACCTTCCCCGGGTACATGTTTTTCACCCTCCCCCTCCTACCTTCTCCTCCCCTCTCACCTTCCCACTTTCCCTGGAGTGCACGTCGTTCATTTCTAATCCTGCTCATTTCTAAGTGCGCTCGTTTCTAATTGTTCCTGGCCCCCTAGTGGCCAGGACGAGGCCCAGGATAGCACAATTAGAAATGAAATGATCTTGGCACCCCAAGAAATCAAAGAACTTGCAAATAATTAGACATGAACAATGTGTAAATGTTTTCGCCCCGGCGAATGCCAACCCCGGCGAAAGCCAACCCCTGGCGAAAGCCAACCCCCGGCGAAAGCCAAACCCCGGCGAAAGCCAACCCCGGCGAAAGCCAACCCCAGGCGAAAGCCAACCCCGGCGAAAGCCAACCCCAGCGAAACGAAGCCTGGCGAAAGCCAACCTGGTGAAACGAAGCCCGGTGAAGGCCAACCCCGGCGAAAAGCATCCGTGTCCTTTCCCCCTCCCCTGGGGTCTAGATTCCTACTAGATGGTGGGTGGGGTTGGGCGACGAGCTCATCAATGCACCTCTGCGGCCCTCGGAGCCTCCGAATCGACCCTCCGTGGCCGCCAAGACGCCCCAACTGCCTTCCAATACGGCTCCAGAAATGGGCCCAACACGCCCGAGAAGCCTCAAGAAATCTAAGATGGCCTCAACATGGCCCAGTACGCCCCAAGAACGCTCCGAGAGTACCCCGCTAAGAGAGCCTCGACAAGCCTAAGACAGCCCAGGAGGGCCCCAAGAGGGCCGGGGGACGGTCCAAGAGGGCCCTGAGACGGCCCAAGAGGCCCCCAAGACGGCCAAGAAGGCCTTCAAGAAGGCCCGAAGAAGGGGAAATCGCAGGGACCCTGGGAGCCCGCCACCGCAAGACGGCCCCGAGACCCCCAACATGCCCCCGAGAGGTGCCTAGAGCCGCCATCAAAGCCCCGAGCTCCAAGAGGCCGCCACCCTAGGCCTCGAAGAAGCCCAAAACCATCCCCGAAACAGACGCGGAGGAACAGGAGGCCGCTTCAACAACAACTGCACGCAGGCAGCACGACCGGAAGCAACAACAACACGCATCACGAACTCGCAAGCCGAACATCTCCTCTTCTGGGGGTCGGCGGAATGTCGTAAGCCTCCTGGATATTGATGTAAGGAAGATGGAGCGGCAGAAAGCTGGTGACGTTGAACATATGGCTATAAGCGCCAATGTTGCCGCACGTCTCGTAGGAATAGCTTAAGCCTGGCAGAGAGCGCGAGCTCTTCACATCCGTGCGGCCGCAGTTCTTCTCGTCTACGAAGCACCACTTCTGCTGGCAGAACCTCGGCGGGGTGGCCCGATCGCAGAGGCCCATGAAACCGGTGCCCTCGTCCCACGCCCTGCAGGCTGCGCTGCCGTAGCTCCTCGGGAACACTGCGCCGTCCGCGGCCCGGAGCTCTGAGCGCCTGCCAGGCGGCACGTAGGGCGCCACCAGCGCCGCCCAGGAGGCGTCGGCCACGTGGTCGATGCACGGGCAGTTCACGTAGGCAGCGTCTGGCCCGACCTCCGCCCGGGGCACCAGGTTCACGCCGCCAGGCCCGGGCGACGAGGCGCCCAGGCCCCGCGCGGCGCCCAGGCCCAGGCCGAGCAGGTCGGCGGCCGCGAGCAGCTCGGGCGCGCTGATGGCGCCGTCGCCGTCGCCGTCCCAGGACGACGCTGGGACGCTTCGCCTGCAGGCGGAGGCAACAACCTTTTTCCCTACCTAGGCTCTGCCTAGAAGGGTTCTTACCCTGTATGCTTAAAGGGCCGGGCAATGCTCCCCGCCCCGGGCGGTTCCCCCAGGATCCGCACCGCGGTTCCCCCGGCAACCGGAGTTCCCTACCTAGGCTCTGCCTAGAGGGTTAGCTTAGCTTAGCTTAGTTTAGCTTAGCTTATTTCATTTTAGCTTAGCTTACCTTACCTTAGCTTACCCTAGCTTAACTTAGCTCAGCTTATCTTAGCTTAGCTTAGCTTAGCTTAACCTAGCCTAGCTTAGCTTAGCCTAGCCTAGCTTAGCTTAGCTTAGCTTAGAGTAGCTTCGCTTAGCTTACCTTAGCCTAGCCTAGCCTAGCTTAGCTTAGCTTACCTTAGCATAGCTTATCATAGCTTAGCTTAGCTTATCTCATCTTAACTTAGCTAAGCTTAGTTTAGCTTAGCTTAGCCTCGCCTAGCTTAGCTTAGCTTATCTCATCCTAGTTTAGCTTAGCTTAGCTTAGCTTAGCTTATCTTATGCTGCTTTCCTAGGGGCTCCAACTCCTAGGTAGGAACGCACTGGGAACATTTTTCTTGGGGGGGGCGGGGCAGCCTGCACGCGCGCTCAGGCGGTCCGGGGCCACGGGAAGCGCACAGGGAGGAAGGCCGGCGAGAGCGGCCGCGGAAGCAAGAAGCGGGTGATCCCATGACTGGTTCGTGTTGCACTCAACCCGTATGGTTAGGATGCGCGATAAGGATGCAAGAGCCTTGGACGCCCATGGCGGAGCTGTTCGAGCGGGGCGCGGCCAACGAAAGTGGCCAAGGATGTACCGAGGAGGCATGGGTGCAAGGGTACCCTTGGGCAGGTTGCCCATCCTTACTATTCCGCGGGTTGGTCCTCCCGCTGGACGAACTTCACATGGGAATTGATGCAAAGGTGCTGCATGGAGGTGCGCTGGCATACGCACACGCACATGCTACGATGCCGTCCGTGAGGCTCGGATGGACCAAGCGTGAACTTGATCGAACAAGAACGGGAAGCGCCGCTTGGCCCACTGGACTCGTAAGACGAATAATAAAAGAAGGGAGGGGAATACGACATGGAGCCGATGACGAGGAAGACAGCATGGAAGACGAGGGGGAGATAAGAGGACCGTGAGAGAACTACGAGGAAGACAAGCACGGAGGACTAGGAGGAGGAGGAGGACGAGTACGAGACGGAGGAGGAGGCCGACCAGAGCGGCGGGGAGGACGAGGAGGATGAGGCTCTCGAGACGGAGGGAGAGGACGATGACGACGAACATAACAAGGAGGAAGTCAAAAAGGACGACGGGGAGGACGACCACGAGAAGGACAACGTGGAGGGCAGCAAGGATGCCGAGAAGGAGGAAGACGAGGGCAATGGATAGGACAGAAATGAGGACGTGAAGGAGGGCAACGGGAGGTCGCTGAAGACAGGGGTGACTGGGAGCACGAGAAGCACGCGAAAGTTGTTGCGCGTGGCGTGTGCGTGTATGCGTGTGTGTGTGTGTGTGTGTGTGTGTGTGTGTGTGTGTGTGTGTGTGTGTGTGTGTGTGCGTGTGCGTGTGCGTGTGCGTGTGTGTTTGTGTGTGTGTGTGTGTGTGTGTGTGTGTGTGGGTTTCGGTCGCCCCCTTTTTCACGCACCCTGATCGGGGTCTCCCCAGCTGTCGTTTTCAACGCGGTCTGAATCCATCCACAGGGTGCAATGCACTCTGACGTGGCCCGTCTGTTCACTCGCGGCTGTGGTGCCACATCGCTGGCGGAAAGAGAGAGAGAGAGAGAGAGTGTGTGTGTGTGCGCCTGTGTGCGGCTATGTGTGCGGCTATGCGTGCCTGTGTGTGTGCTCGTGTACGTGTGTGTGTGTGTGTGTGTGTGTGTGTGTGTTTGCAGGCTGCGTGCCAGGTGGGTGGGAGGGGGTGCGTTCGCCGCCGACCCCGCCCAAGACACTAGGGATAACCCCTTTAAGCTTCAGAGTGCCTACTAGAAGCTCGGCCTCCCCCTCCCCTCCCCTTCTCCTGCTCCTTCCCTAGCTCCCCTTCCTCCTCCTTATCCGCCTCCCCTTCCTCGCTCCTCCTCTCCAGAGATCTGGTGTACACATCTGTGCAATACGGGGTCCCCTGACACTTCGACCGTTTCCCCAGGGCGGGTGTTGCATCCCGAGCCGCTTCTTGATGGCCCTGGGGCCCAGCGAGGGCCCCCAGAGGTCGAGAACCGCGAGAAACCTCCGCGCTTACCTTTTCAGCACATTGGAGGTTTGGGTCGGAGCCCTCCCGAGGGAGAAATCGAGAGGAGGCTTTCGGGGGCCCTGTCCTGCGCCAGGACAAGGCGGGTGGTGTCGAGGCGCTGGCCCCAGCCGCGGCGGCGGCGACCCTCAGGATAAGCAGGATGAGGGGTGGGATATGATGGGGAGGATAAGGATGAGGACGAGGACGCGGACAATGATGATGACGACTACGATGATGATAATGTGCTGATGATGATGACGATCATGAGGATGATGCTGTTGATGAAGATTATGATGATGGTGATGGTAAGGGTGATGACGTTGACGATGACGATGGTGATGATGCTTATGCTGTTCATGATGATGACGATGCTGCTGATGATGCTGATGATGATGATGCTGGTGATGGTGGTGATGATGGTGATGATGGTGATGATGCTGCTGATGGTGATGATGCTGGTTAAGATGGCAATCGTGATGGTCTTTTCTTTGGTGATGAGGCTGTCGATTTCGAATGGTGGAGTGGCGATGATGATATGATGATGGCGACGACGACTAGGAGGAGCAGGAGGAGGAGGCGGAGGAGGAGGAGGAGGAGTAACGACGAGGAGGAGCGAAGCTAAGCGAACGCCGTAGTCGTGCGCGCTCCGCTAATGAACCCGCCCGTGCCCATCAGGGCATAGCGTGGAGGCCGTGGCCTCAAGCATGTGATACGTGCGCGGACTCTCGTGATAACCACGATGCGGATATGTCGTTGATGCCAATCATGTTTTTTTTGTTTTTTTGTGAGTCGATGGGGGAATGAAGGAAGATGAGGAGGAGGGAATGAAAAAGGACGACCAGCACGAAACACAATACCGAGCAAGGAAGAGGACCCAGACGCCCCCAAACTTCCCAAGCGTAGTGGATGTTGGGCATCCGTTCTTGGATTTTTCTGTATGGTTCCCAAAGCTGCGCTTGTACCGAGATGAGCGCCCGATCGAGCTGGGTCAGTCTGTCGCATGTAGTTTCCAGCGGCTGCTTAGCCTCCCATGGCTTGGCCTCGTACGGATCCCCATGGCTTCCCGCTCCTCCGGCTCTCTCGGTCACACTTTTCCGATGGCACCACCGCTATCACAGGTAGAACGGGGGAAAAGGGAGAATGGGGAGTTCCTCCTCCTCCTTCTCCTCCTGGTCCTCCTTCTCCCCCTCCTCCTCCTCCTCCTCCTCCTCCTCCTCCTCCTCCTCCTCCTCCCCCTCCTCCTCCTAGAGGCGGGCGAAGTGAACCTCCCCACCTCGTCGCTCATCTGGCTGAACGCCCCGACCCATGGTCACTCGCGCCGGACGTAAGTCTGGTGCAGCGCTCTCTCGGAGGAAGGAAAACGCGGACGAGGAGGAGGAGGAGGAGGAGGAGGAGGAGGAGGAGGAGGAGGAGGAGGACGAGCGCGAATTCGGGAGAATTCGGCGACGAAGGAATCGAGACACGCCATTTGGGACGCCGTGCCACCTCGGGGAGGCCAGAAGCACTTGGGGCCGCTCGTGTGGCACCGGTTTGCCATTCGATAGGCAAGAAATCACATACTTTCCGTTTTTGGTCGAAGGTTTACACGCCTCGAAAAGCCCTTTTACACTCCTCCCGTCGAGCGCTTTAGCACGACTGCCACATGTTGTGCACCACCATGTCGAGCAAACATCGGTATATCTCATGGTGTGGGAGTGGTGGGCTGATCGGGCTCCAATTTGATAAACTTAGCTACAAGGTTGTGTGATTTACACTGCTTAAGCCACCGTCTGATGACTAAAGCTCCAGCTCGCTTGCCAATTAGCTCTGTCCAGACACTACGTTGCCGTCTACTCTTGGAGGGGAGGGGCGCGTGAGGGGAGGAGGCTGAAGCAAGGCTCGGGCCACTGGCTGCTCGTCTCTTGCTTTTCCTTGGCAGACTCGCGATCCGTGACCTCTTCGGACGGTTCCTTAGCGCAAACCTCCATATGTGGACGTATTAATCGGCGCTGGACCAGCGATGCTGTATGTAGCTCTGATCTGTTCGTGCATCTGCATCTGCCGCTCTGGAGCCTCGCGGTCGGAGGCGGCGGCCTTCTCAGCCAGGGCGTTCGCGGGGGCGTTCCCGAGCCATGCGCTTCCTCGTCCAAGGTGTAGCTTTGCCTTCTGCTCGTCATCCCAGTGGCCTGGAGTTTGTCGTAGTACAAGCAAGAAGCGAAGTTGGATCCTCGTGTGCTGGTTCGCGCGGATGTATTGCCTGGCAGGTCTGGCCCCAGATGTCGACGTTGAACTTTGGTGCCTTTTGTGATGCTGGTGCCACTTTTGCCATCCTGTTACCGGAACATCGGAATCGGTCCATGTAAGGAGTCTGCCACTTGTGCTTCGTATCACTTGCAATAGTGACCAACATGCTGCTCTGTTGGCGCCGTCCAGGGAGATGCCCAAACTGTCCACCGCGAGCTTCCCAAGCATAGGCTCCGTCCGCTTGGCGCCTGTGAACCATAAAAACCCATCCTCATCCACATCGCCGGTATCGAGGGCCTTGTGAATGTGTGCCGCCACTGCCATCCGTGCTGATCACCGTGAGGTAGTTCTGCTCGTTGGCGTGTTCGGCTGGTCTGTCCAAGATCCCGTTCTGCATCTCTGCGGAATTGATTGTGGCCTTCCGTCTCGCACTCTGGTGGCACCGTCCGCGTCCTTGGTATCGAGTCTCTCAGCCAGAAGCACGGGATGGTCTCGCTGCCTTGTATCGCTCGTCGTTGTAGCTTCTTGGTCTTGGTGCAATCGTTGTGCTCACCTCTGCTGGCGCATGTACCCCAGACCCTGTGGATGTCGTCGCATACCTGGCCATGCGTGCAGATATTGCTCACGTCCGTGGAAGTCTTACTCTTGCGGTCTGACGTCCACATGGCTGCACATACTAATAATTGCAGTCCCTGCTCCGTGATGTTTGCCACGCTTGTGTAGGTTCCTCAGATTCTTGATAAGGTCGTAGCTGTCGATGCCTTGCTCTGCTCCTTTGCCAAGCCAGTGCGCTGCGGCCTTGGACCAGAGCTGTAGTTCTTACGCCCCGAGCATTGCATGGATTACATCAGCTGGGTCACGCGTGTGATCATCGTCTCCGTCGCCCATTGGCCTTTCTGCTCCCTGGTGGTCGAGCCAGTCCAACACTGATAATATAAAGCGTCCGATCAATCCTCGGTGCTGTATCCAACGGTCTGATGACGATGCTGATGCTGATGCTGATGCTGATGCTGATGCTGATGCTGATGCTGATGCTGATGATGTTGCTGATGATAATGATGATGCTGCTGCTGATGATGATGCTGGTGATGCTGAGGATGCTGATGTCGATGATGATAGTGATGATGATGAGGATGCTGCTGCTGATGATGTTGATGATACTGCTGCTGTTTCTGATGAAGCTGATTATGTTGATGAGTATGACGACGACGCTGATGTTAATCTTGTTTAGGAGGAGGATGAGGAGGAGGAGGAGATGGAGATGTGTGAGAAGGAACAGGGCAAGGCGGAAGAGGAATCTGAGACGCATGGCGAAGAGGAGGAGGAGGAGGAGGAAGAGGAGGAGGAGGAAGACGGGGAGGAGGAGGAGGAGGAGGAGGAGGAGGAGGAGGAGGAAGAGAAGGCGGAGGAGGAGGAGGAGGATGATACGGAGGAGGAGGAGGAGGAAGAAGAGGAAGAGGAGGAGGAGGAAACGGAGGATGAAGATGAGGCTGAGGAGGATGAGGAAACGGAATAATAAGACGAGGAGGATGACGAAACGGAGGAGAAAGAACACGAGGATGAGGAGGAGGAGGAGGAGAAGGAGGGGGCGGAGAAATATGAAGCTGCTGCTGATGATGCTGCTGCTGATGCTGAGGAGAAGGAGGAGGAGGAGGATGAGGAGGAGGAGGAGGAGGCGAAGAAAGAGGAGGAAGAGGATGAGGAGGAGGTAGGGAGGGAGGGAGGGAGGAGGAGGGAGGAGGATGAGAAGGAGGAAGAGGATGAAGAGGAGGAGAAAGAGGAGGAGGAGGAGGAGCAGGCGGAGGAGGAGGAAGCGGAGGAGGAAAAGGAGGAGGAGGTGGATGAGGAGGAGGAGGGCGGAGGAGGAGGAGAAAGAACAGGAGGAGGAAGAGGAGGAGGAGGAGGGCGATGGGAGAAGGGAGAAGGGAGGAGGGATGAGGGAGAAGCGAGAAGGGAGGAAGAAGGAGGGAGGGGAAATGAGGAAGAAGAGTATGAGAAGGAGGAGAGGAAGAGGATGACGTGCAGGAAGAGGACGAGTAGGAGGATGAAGAGGAGCAAGAAAACGAGGAGGAAGAGGACAATGATGATGATGAGGTGGAGGATGGAGGCGGATGATGATGATGATGAGGAGGAGGAGGGCGTGGAGGAGGAGGAGGAGGAGAAGGACGAGGAAGAGGAGGAGGAGGGAGAGGAGGAGGAGGAGGCGGCGGATAAAGAGGAGGAAGAGGATGATGAGGAGGAGGAGGAGGAAAAGGAGGAGGAGGAGGAGGAGGAGGAGGGAGGAGGGAGAGAGAACGAGAGAAAGGGGGAGGAGGAGGCAGAGGACGAGGAGGAGGAAGAGGAAGAGGAAGAGGAGGAGGAGGAGGAGAAGGAGGAGGAAGAAAAGAAGGAAGAGAAGGAGGAGGTTGTGGAGGAGGAGGAGGGGGGCGGAGGAGGAGGAGGAGGAGAAGGAAGGACAGGATGAGGAAGAGGAAGAGGAAGAGGATGAGGATGAGGATGAGGATGAGGATGATGATGATGATGATGATGATGATGATGATGATGATGATGATGATGATGATGTTGATGATGATGATGATGATGATGATGATGATGATGATGATGATGATGATGAGGATGGAGGCGGATGACGATGAGGAGGGCGTGTAGGAGGAGCAAGAGGAGGACAAGGATTCTGATACTATTGATGATGCTGCTGCTGATGATGATGATGAGGAGGAGGAGGAAGAGGAGGAGGAGGAAGACGAGGAGAAGGAAGTCGAGGACGAGGAGGAGGGGGAGGAACGGGGAGGAGGGGGGATGGCGACGAGGAAGGGGAGGAGGAGGCAGATGACGAGGAGGAGGAGGGCGAGAAGGGGGAGGAGGAGGAAGAACAGGAGGGGGAGGAGGGCGAGGAGGAGGATGATGATGATGATGAGGAGGAGGAGAGGATGAGGAGGTTGTGGAGGAGGAGGGCGTGTAGTACAAGGAGGAGGAGGAGGAAGAGGAGGAGGAAGAGGAGGAGGAGGAGGAGGTGGAGGACGAAAAGAGAGAGGAGGAGTAGGAGGAGGAAGCGGAGGAGGAGGAGGAGGAGGAGGAGGAGGAGGAGGAGGAGGAGGAGGCGCCTGGCGGCGCCCGCGAAGGCGGCGAGCGGCAGCTTTGAGGACCGCCGCGGGGCCATGCCCCGGACAGCCTCGCCGCCCTCATGCTCGCGCGCGCGCGCGGGCCTGGGCAGCGCCCCCGAGCCGAAAGCGTCGAGGCCTCTCAGATGGGTCGATGTACGCAGATGGGGTCGGAGGATCACGCCGCATCGAACTTGCATCACCGATGCATCGGCGAGACGCTGGCGATGCCTCAGTGACGTCGGCGTGGAGAAACTTGTGCTCCACATCGAGCCGCGTCGCCGATGCATCAGCGATGCGTCGCGATCCTTCGACCCCATCTACTCTGACCCCGCGTGGGAGGCCTAGGCCTTCGTCCTGAACGCTCGGGGTCCAACCATCCGGCGCCTCGAAAGTCGAGGCGGCTGGTTTAGTGCCGCCTTTTCCTAGGCACCTCTGGGCAATTGTTTGAGCACCTGGGATGTGATCAAACATCGACTCCGGGTGAGAAAAACCTGCCCCAGTGAAGGGAGGTCGGGAAATCCGGGGCAAAAACTTCGAAAAGTGCGAGGACCCACGCGTCGGACAAAGGTCGGAGGTGAGGAGGGGGATGGGGAAGAGGAGGGGGAGGATAATGGGGAGAACGAGGAGGAGGCGGAGGAGGAGAAGGAGGGGGAGAGGATGATGATGATGATGATGATGATGAGGATGAGGATGATGATGCTGATGATGATGATGATGGGGATGAGGAGGATGATGAGGGTGAGGGTGAGGAGGATGATGGGGATGATAATGAGGGTGAGGGGGATGATAGGGGATGAGAATGAGGATGAGGATTATGAAGTTGATGATGATGCTGCTGATGATAAGGCTGATGATGATGATGAGAAGGAGAAGGATGACCAGGAGAGGAGAAGGGAGAGAGGGCGATTATGGCTATGATTATGATGCTGATCATGATGATGCCGATGATGGTGATGGTGATGATGAAACTGCTGAGGAAGGTTTGGTGGGGTTGGGTTTTGTTGGGTTGGGCTGGGGTGTGCGCGCCGAATTCGGCGCGTGAGCCAGCGCGCCGTCTGCCGCTGAGCGAAAGGCTTAGCCCTCGCTCTCGGAGCTGTGGCTGCCTTGTACCGCAACGCGCTCCAAGCTACCGCCTCGGCTGGGCTGGCGAAGCCGTGGAGCCGCGCGGCGTCCCACATGTGGAGACGCCGCCGCTTGAGCCTGTAGCCTGGCCTCAATCGGTGCCTGCTGCTGCTGCTGCTCCTCCTCCCCCTCCTCTTCTGCAGCGTCGGGAGTAGCGGGCGCCAGACCCGCAGCTCGGCGTCTGTGAAGGCCCGTGTCTGCCCGAGCCGCTGTCGCTGGCTCCTCGGGTGGGGTGGAGGAGGCTGGCGCGTAGCCGCCGGCGTGCCTCCGCCAGTCCAGCGGCCTCGTGGCTTTTTTTGACATCCACGTCACACCTCCACATCCTCGGGTAAGACCGAGGGCCAGAGCCAGCAGCGGAGGGGGATGCTGGCTCCCTGACACAGACCAATGGTCTGAGTCATCAGCGCAAATGAACAGCTCGAGAGACCAAAAGGGTCTCTGCGTCCAGACGAACCAGCACAATGTGCACCTGCCGCAACATCTCTAAGAGAGGGGCAGGCACACAGGGCAACAAAAACGGACGCCGAGCTGCAAGCGCAAAGACAAATCCAAATGCAGGGGTCCTGCAAAGTGAAAGGCCATCTCGTACCGACTGCCCTCGGCTGTGCAAGAGGAAAAACGGTCGAGACAGCGCCCCGCCACGAGAGCCGAGATAGCCCCCAGCGGCGGAGAGCAGAGAAAGCGGGGCGAGCGAACGCACGTACGCACGAGGACGCCCGCCCAACTTAAACGAAGGAGAGATGTTGGGGCCAAGATCCCCAGGCTCCTGGCCGCAGCAACACCTAAACCCGAGCCACAGTCGGGATGGGGCCACCCCCGTGCTCGGAGAAAGAAAGAAGCGCACCCTAGCTGTGCTCGTACCTTCCCCCTGAAGCGGGGTGCCTGACACGCGTGCACGACGGACGCACGCACAACGAGACAGCGCACAACATAGAAACTCCAATGGACAAAACGACCACCCACACAAGGACGACGAGCCCGCAGCCCCTGGTGCAGCCAGCGCCAGGACGACCGTCGGCCTCGCCCCAGATGTGGGGTAAAACACGGACGCCTGCCGAAAGGGTCAGACGCATCGGGCCGTGCTGTCATAAACGAAAAGAAAAGGCGTACCCACGCCAAGGGAAAGACTCGATCACCCACACAAGGACGACGAGGCCAGCAGTCCCTGGTGCAACCAGCGCCAGGACGACTGCCAACCTCGCCCCAGATGTGGGGTATAGCACGGATGCCTGCCAAAAGGGTCAGACGCATCGGGCCGTGCAAGAAAGAAGAAATAGGAAGGGCGTCCCTGCGCCAAAGAAGCATTAATCCGAACTGTCCCATGGCACGGTAGGTGTTGAAGGCGAGCAGGCTGTACGACGCCTAGCCGCCCCCGCGCGAAATGCGGGAAAGTAGTTAAAGGTGTGGGTGAAGGTGGGGCTATGGCACGGGCCCGATGGGCTGCCACGGCCTTTCCGCTGCACTTATGCGCTGGCACCGCACTTCATGCAGAAGAGCACCGCGTCCTCGTCGCCACACGGCCCTGCCAATATGCTGTGGCCCCTCAGCTTCCGTGGCATGGCGGACTCGTTGTGACCCTCCGCGCTGCCGTCGGCTTCTCCTCCAGCCTCTTCTGCTGCGTTGCCGGCCTCCTGCGAGGGCGGGCTCGCGCCCTGTGTCCTGGGCGCTGGCGGCAGCTGGCTGTTGGCCGATGGACCTCCCTCGGCTCTGTGCTGGTCGCCGTCTTGTTCCGCCTCGTCGTCCCGTGCTTCGGCGTCCAAGCCCGCTGAGTTTCTGACCTCCATTCTCTGCAGCTGCACGTGGAGGTCCTCAAGCCACCGCGCCAGCTGCCTCGCACGGCGCCGGCGAGCTGCTGAGAAGAGGCGAGGCTCCTCGGGGACAGCCCACAGCCAGTCTCCGCGGCGCGCCATGCGGTTTGCGGCAGCGCTTCTGGCACGCCGCCAGCTCTCCAGGTGGCTTGTCGTGGCGTTCACCACGAGGTGCGCCTTGACCTTCACGACCTCCATCTTCTGGTCGCCCATCTCGGACCAACACGCTGCCCAGAGGTGCCGCCGCACGTTGGCCTCGCGCTCGGCGAAGGCACGGTCGCACGCGCATCTTACCGTGCCCTTGCAGTCGCAGTGGACCTTGGGAGGGCCCTGCCGAAGCTGGGCCAACGTCTTGAACGCGTAGTCCTCGCCATCTCGCGCCTCCCTGCAGCGGCGTTTGCGCCAGCGGCGCCACGCCGTGTGCAGTGCTTGTGATCTAACGGTCGTCGTTGAAAGCCACGATGGACCATCCAGCTCGCCTCAGGGCGTCGTCCCTTACGTCGAAGGCGCTGCCGTCGACGAAGACGTCGGCTGAGAAGAAGCCCCCCTCCAGCCTCGTGTGCCAAACAAGGTGATGGGGAGAAGGGAACACGGGCCTTGAATAGCATCGCTGCGTGCATGGCACCAAACCGCGGGCGATCAGCTCACCCGCCGCCTCTCCGCGCTCGCGCACCACGCGCGCGGCGGCCAGCAGGTCTGGCGGACAGTGCTCTCTCCGGCGCACCGCGTGGCCGTCGGTGGCGAAGCTGCGGTGCCAGAGCGTGCCCCGCTCAGCACCACATAAGGTGCACAAGCTGCCGGCCGCCTTGCCCGCGTCGCGGAGCTGGTTCTGCGACTAGTGGGAGCCTCCGATGAGGCTTCGAAAGGCCCGCTGATGACTGATCGTCCACGCGGTGTCGTCCACTGCCCTCGGCCCGAGGAGCTCGGCCAACGGCGTCCAATTGAGAGGGGTCGCCCGCGTGCCTGCTTCGGTCAGCCTGGACCGCTCCAGGAGGAGAAGGAGGAGGAGGAGCAGGAGGGGGATGAGGGCGAGGAAAAGGAGGAGGCGCAGGAATAGAAGAGTGGGAGGAGGAGGGAGGAGGGAGAGGAGATCTGAGTAGGAGAAGGGGGCGGGGTAGGAGTGGGAGGATGAGTGTGGAGGAGGAGGAGGAGGAGGAGGAGGAGGAGGAGGAGGAGGAGGAGGAGGAGGAGGAGGAGGAGGAGGGAGGAGAAAGGACCAGCAGCGTTAGGACCAGCAGCATAAGGAGGAGCAGCAGCAGCAGCAGGAGGACGCTCGGCTTTCTGCCTTCCCGCGCCAGTCAAGGCGAGCCGGCGCGTGGGGCCGCGGCCCCGGCGGGCCTCATACGCGCCAGTGGGGGCTCGCGCCTGGGGGGAGGCCGCCGTCCTTCTGCTCATTCCTCGAGTGGGGAGGGGGGGGAGGAGGCGCAAGGAGGAGACGGAGGGTAGGGAGGAGCCAGGAGGAGACGGGATGCGGATGATGATGATGATGATGATGATGATGATGATGATGATGATGATGATGATGATGATGATGATGACTATGATGATGATGATGATGCTGATGATGATGGTGATTCTGATGATCATGATGATGATGATGATGATGATGATGATGATGATGATGATGATGATGATGATGATGATGATAATGCTGATGATGGGGATGAGGAGGAGAACGAGGAGGATGAGAAGGAGGCGGGGAGAGGGATGACGAGGAACTATGATGATGAAGAGATCATGATGCTGGTGATGATGATGATTCTGATTTTGATGATGGTGATTCTGATGATGATGATGATGCTGCTGATGATGATGATGATGATGATGATGATGATGATGATGGGAGGGAGGGGAGGAGGAGGGGGAGAACGAGGAATTCGGGTGAGGACAAGCATGTGGATGATGATGCTGCTGCTGATGATGCTGCTGCTCATGATGAGGATGATGCCGATGATGATGATGATGATGATGATGATGATGATGATGATGATGATGATGATGATGACTATGATGACGATGACGATTACGACGATGATATGATGATGCTGATGATGCTGATGCTGATGCTGATGCTGCTGCTGATGACGATGCAGATGACGATGCTGCTGCTGATGATGATGATGATGATGATGATGATGATGATGATGATGATGATGCTGAGGATGTTGATGATA